CAGACCCGAGCGACTTTTGGCAATATCTCAAGATCCGTCTCAGCTATTGAGAAATGCAGAGCAGGATTTTGTGTAGGGAACCAGTGCACAGAATCTTTGTTTTGGGAGTTTAGGCATTGATAATTACAAAAAAAGGTTTCATAATGAGGAGGTGGTTTTGGCAAAATGCCCCGGCTGATCTCACGCTTCAAATTTCACATTAGCCGTAAGTCCCTCGCTCAAGCCTTGGGCCTTTGGCGTGAGGGACTTTGTTAAGTTTGGCTCAATTTAAACTTTTGAATTTACATGTTTATGAATTGCATAGGTGAACTTGATCATTTTTTGAGCCGGGAAAAGTTTGCCTGTTTCACCAAAGGTAAAATACAAATGTCAACCAATTTTACATAACTAGTTTGTGATTATTTGAATCAAACAAAGCCATGAATTACAAAGTTGGAACTTTGTAGTCATAAAAAGGACACCTGGTCCCAATGCTGCAAAATTCATGGTGGAATTAGGAATTAGGGGGTGTCAAATTCGGCTTTTTACAACAACAAAACTGCAGAAATCTTTTTACATTTTTTCAGCAAAAAGTGGTGCAATTGTACAGCTGTTCATGAAATTCCTGTTCTGTTTGCAAAATCTCACAAATTTGTTGTAGGGATATGACCTGGCCCTGGACCTGCCTTGATGATGATATACACAAATGCCGGCGAGTGTACCAGGCACCCCAGCCAGGCCAGAGGCCTGTGAACTTTTCCTTTGGAAAGTCAAAGTTGCAAGATCAACCCAATCAAAGTACGAATCATTGACCATGCTCACCTGACTGATGTGAGAATTTTGCTAAACTTTTTTCTACCTTTTGTTTTGATCAGGTCAAATCCCTCAATGGTGCTACCTCAAGGATGCACTGATTTGTCTAGTTGTCAATCAGAAGCTACCAATATCCTTAATTGATGTGGCCAAATTTTGCAAGCTGCTCACTATGATTAACTCTGCTATGCCAGCACTTTTGTCAAAACAAACTTGCATGTCTGAAGGTATTTTGCCTGAATATAGATCAATTCAAGGCACTCTTATTACTTTTATGTCCAAAGTCAAGCCTATCAGTGTTACTTGCAATGGTTGGACTTCTCCCAGCAATGTTTCTATGCTGGGAGTTACTGCTCACAGGATCAATAAAAACTTCAACATGAAGTATATCATCCTTGCTTTGACCAATCAATGGTCCTCACACTGGTGTGAATCTAGCCACTCTGCCCAAAAGCATTCTCAACCAATTCAACATTACCAATTGTCTCTATTGAATTACCACGGACAATGCATCAAACAACACAACAATGGGCCAAACTCTCACGACTATGATGCCTACCTTTGATGCCTTCAAGAATCTTCACAGTGGTGTAGCCCACGTCATTAATCTGGTGGCTATATCCAGCATGGTAATCTTTGATCAAAAGACCGCCCCTCCTCCAGTCAACACCCTTGATCCCAGCATTCCTCAACCATCTGTTCCCCTTTTCATCAAACCAAGTCCTCACTCTGCTATCACTAGTATTCTAACTTGTATTCAAACTTTCCACAAGAAAGTGAAACACAGTCCTCAGCTCAAAGCATCCCTCAACAGGTCTATACAAGGTTGCTACAAACTCAAACAGAAAGTTGGATTGGTCCACAAGGTCTTGACTTTGTGGTCTTTGAACCATGTCTCCCTTGAACACTTTGTTGAACCCCAGCCAGTTATTCACTATGTATGCAATGGAAACCCTGCCCCTGGACCCTTTTCACTTGATGACTCAGAGTGGGTCCTTGTTGAGACAATTATCAAACTTTTATCTCACCTTGCTCATGTCATTAAGGATATTGAAGGTCACTCGTATTCTACCTTTTCCAATGTTATGCCAGATTATCAATGGCTAGTGGAATGGCTTGGATTGGTGAGTTTTTTATCTTTAATTTTATCTTTCAATTTTTAGTTACTAATGCCTGCATTTGTTTTGTTTGTCAAATCTTAGGCTTGGCGCAATTCCACCTGCCAGGAGTTGAAGGTTTGCATCATGCCAATAATGGAGAAAATCATCCAATATCAAGACACTGTTCAGAAGAAAGCCATGTACATATTTGCTGCTATGCTCAATCCTTGACTCAAACTTACTGGGGTCAAGGGTTCAACCATGGAGTCTCTCAGTTGGGGACCTAAAGACTTGATCAGGTACTTCACCACACAAGCCACCTTGCAAGCCCAACATTGAAATTGTTGAACCTCAAGAGGAATTCAACCCTGATCAACCTCAGCACTTCATTAAACACCACAAGACTATTCCTATCAAGCATGTGGTCAACAAGTACTTAACTGCACCTCAAGAGGATGAGAGATGTGATGCCCTTCACTACTGGAAGCTGAATCAATGTCACTGGCCCACTTTAACACATATGGCCAAAGGTATGTTTAGTTATAACTCACCAGACCAAGATGCTTATATGTAGGGATGCTTGTAGTGGGAGTTGTACCTTTTTCATCCACTCTTGACACACATGTGTGTACCCTTTTCTCTCATACTGCAATCTAGTTATCATACCAGGTACACCTTCACATTGTTCACTGCAAGACTGGTTCACAACATTTTTGCTGTACCTGCCACTAGTGCACCATCTGAGAGGAGTTTCTATGCTGCATTTCATGTGATGAGTGACCACTGTGCTTCCTCCACTACTCAAAACCTCAAGGCCCAAGTCTGTCTCAAAAGCTGGTCCAAGCAATTTTTATAGGTTTTATTTTTCTTTCTTGATTATCATGACTTTATACATATACAAGTAGTCATCTGATGCATTTATTTTTTGAATAGTAGCTACAAATGTCTAGTGGATACATGTGACCTTGAAATTTATGCCAAAACTATAGCCCTTTCTAACATTTTCCCCCCCAAAAAAAGCCAGACCCCACTTGGACCCAAGCCCTACATTTCAGGGTGTGCCCTGGTTGGCCCTGCCCACATTCTGAGAGACTTTGGGAATTTCCAGGGTGTGGCCGGCCACAAATTTGTGGGGCTGGGTCATTGCCCTAATTTGTTTTGCCACACCACCCTCAAATACAGCAAATACAAGGCCTGCTGAGGTTTGCAAGTTAGGATACCTGCAGTTGATATCCTTGTTGACACCCAATTGGGTCCCATGCCCTATTCCAACTGTCAACACCTTCACGTTGATCCAAACTCCGCCACAGCTTTCCTCTCATTTATTCAATGGCCCCATGTAAGTCCCCCTTCCATGATATCAATCTCAGCACCCCCAATAGTCGCTGATTTGTTTCTTATAGCCAAGAAGTTACGGCCTGGCAAGTATGATGTAGGTGTCAAGGTGTTGGCAGTCCAATACCTTTGAGAAGGCAAGACTATTGATAGAGGCCGGCATCTATTGAATTCTCCTGTTAGCTTGCAAACCATTTCACATTGGCATGCGCTCTATCAAAGAACATCCTTGGTAGTTTTCGACGCTGAAGATTACAACCAACTGGGTAGAAACACCAAGCTGACTGACAAAGACCAGGACTTCATTGTGGAACTCCTCAATGGTAACCCTGGACTTTATCTGGATGAGTACTGTCATGCTGTGTATTGTCAAACTGGGATTGGGTTATCCCTCAACACCATTGCCAATGGCCTCAAGCTTTGCCTCAATTTGACTCTCAAAATGTCTTGGACTGTACATCCTAAACAAAGCAACACCAAGCAAGCCCAATTTCTGTAGTTGGTGGGAGCGGTGACACCAAACATGTTGGTCTTTCTAGGTGAGACATTTTTTAGGATTGTCTCCCTCATTGCTCTGTGGATGCTTACCAATGTATACCTCCTTCAGACAAGTGTGCCCTTCAGGAGCGGTTTCTCCAAAGGCCACCACACCAAAAGTGTTCCTTGGAGTCGTGACTGTCAAGAAGGGTCATACCTTTACCGGGATTTTGAAGGCTTCCTCAAGCATTGAGTGGTGTGTGTTTCTTGCCTACCACTACATGTTTGCCTACCACTACATGTAACTTCACCTCACTGACATATTTTTAAATAGTTCCCAGTGATGAATCCATACCCACAAGCTAACTCTGTGTTAGTGATGGATAACACACAAATTCATCATGGCGGGCGGATCACAGAGTCAGCTGAAGAAAGGGGTATATGTATTATCTACCTGCCTCCCTACTCTCCCAACCTCAACCCCATAGAGAAGGCCTTTAGTGTCTTGGAATCACACTTCTGCCGTACCCAAAGGTTTTGAGAACGTGCTGGAAAACAGACTTGAAAGATGGGGTTTTGTGTAACATCCTAACAGGCCTGGTGTGAGGTTTTGACAGGTTAGACAGCTTTCTCAGGAATTATAACTTCTGCCTGGTCTTGCCCTGAAATAATTGCATCAAATAAGAAGTGAGCTACATGAACATGTGTAGAACAATCAGGCAGACAGGACTTCTCTTTGGTCCAGAGGATATTTATTTGTAGGGGGCAGAGATATGGTGGGTTGGAGAAGTCCCCAGCCAAAGTTTTTTGGCTCACATGCCAAAATCTCATGTCCATATAAGCCATAAGTCTTCAATTGCTTGCTTGTCCGAGAGGGACTATGTAGACCAGGGTCAAGCTTGCGCTAGTGAGTCTTGATCAAGCACTAGCTGGGGAACCGAGGTCAGTTCACAGTCCGGATTGTATGGCCCCGAGTAGCCCCGAGTACACCTCAGGGCGATATGAAATTTACACATTGTAACATTTGATTCCATTTCGAGCGGAGTTCTAGCTCAGCACTTCACTTGATCGAGATTGCTGCCTCATCAGATAACACAACACCATCTCATCCAAAGAACTCAACACTCAAGATGCCACCACCTACTACTGATCAACAAAAAATTAGGGATGGTATCAAACTAGTCCCTCAAGTGACCAATGCTGAAGGAAAGATGTCGGTGACTTTGGATTTCTATTTCGAATCTTTCTATTCCGTTCTTGGTCCAATCCAATGTATATGCGAATTTAATCGAGTTAATGGCTTGTTCTTTTATATTGATTTATATCTATCACAGTTTACCTCTTTCCGATCGTCCAAATATCCTCATCACTTCTGCCTTGCCTTATGTCAATAACGCTCCTCATCTTGGTAACATCATTGGGTCTACTTTATCGGCTGATGTATATGCAAGATATCGTAGAACTGGACCTATCCCATCACAAGTACTCTATATTTGTGGAACAGATGAATATGGAACAACTACAGAGACAAAAGCCTTGGAAGAAGGACTTAGCCCAGGAGCCTTGTGTGATAAATACCATCAAGTCCATAAAGATAGTTATGAATGGTTCGATATGTTGGTTTGAAGAAGTTTATTCATATGTCAGCATAAGATTTCTGATCATGATTGTTCTAATCTTTGTTTGATTTATAGATCATTTGATCATTTCGGGAGGACCACTACTCCTAAACAAACTGAGTACATATATAGACTCACTCTTCTATCCGTAGATTAAATTTGTCCGTTCAATGTGCTAACCACCATTTGTTCTTCAGGATTTGCCAAGAGATCTTTACTGCGCTCTATAACAATGATCACTTGGTTGAACACACAGTCGAACAAGTTTATTGTAACAACGACCAAAGGTACGTCTGATACCACTAGAAAAACCTGCCTGATACCTCATTAAATATCTTTTGATCAAAACCTCGGCTGGCTTGAAGATTTTTGGCAGACCGTTTTGTGGAGGGCACATGTCCCAAATGTGGAGCATCGGTCAGTCACGGATCATTTGTTCGATCTTGAATACCGAAAGCTCATCAAAGGTGATCTGACTTTGGTATACAGGGCGCTCGAGGTGACCAATGTGACACTTGTTGTCAAACATTAGACGCCATCGACTTGATCGACAAGAAGTGCAAGATTTGTTCTCATAGTCCTGTCACTCGAAAATCCAAGCATCTCTACCTCAACTTACCCAAGCTTCAAAAAACCATTGAAAGTTGGTATTCAAGTGCCAAGGAAGGAAAACATTGGTCTGCGAATGGGAAAGCTTTTACCGAGGCATGGCTCAGGGATGGGTTAAGAGAACGGTGTTTGACTAGGGATCTCAAATGGGGAGTGCCTGTGCCATTAGATGGTTGGAAGGACAAGGTGATGTACGTCTGGGTGAGTTGCGATGAATTTCTGATGGTTTGTTGATCAGTTTATATGCTGAGTCTGTTTGGATGATCCAAAAAACTCAGTTTGATGCGCCGATCGGATATCCCAGTATTACTGCCAATTATACGGATGATTGGAAAAAGTGGTGGAAGAACCCAGAAGAAGTGACCTTGTATCAATTCATGGGAAAAGATAACGGTTTGTTTACTTTGTATCTTTACCTTTGATCAGTGTCAGGTTATTCACCTATCAAAATCTTATTCACAGTACCGTTTCACACCATCCTTTTCCCTGCGTATCTGATGGGGACTGGTGAAAAGTGGACCATGTTGAATCATATCAGCACAACCGGTTAGCAGACCTCATCCTTTATATGGCTTTGCTTGATGCACATTGATCTGACGTGAACTTTTGGACAACAGAGTACCTTCAGTATGAAAATGCCAAGTTTTCGAAATCTAACAACATCGGTGTCTTTGGACAAAACGCTCGTGAAACCGGTGTACCCTCCGAAGTATGGCGTTATTACCTAATCTCAACTCGACCTGAGACCAATGATTCACAATTCACTTGGACAGATTTCATTGCCAAGGCGAATTCAGAGTTATTGAACAATTTGGGTAACTTTGTGAATCGGATCATCAAATTCTGTAATGCTCGATTCAATTCGATCGTTCCAGATCCATTATCATGGCCTGTGAACGGGCCAAGCTCACCACCTGAAACGACTCTTACGGAGATGAAGATACCTGGACGTGATGAATTTGATCAACTTGATCAAGAATTCGTTCGAGATATCGATAATCTTTTAAATCAATACATTGAATCTGCTGAATCTCTCAAACTTCGAAATGCTCTAGCGATTGTGATGTTGATTTCAGCTAGAGGTAATCAATATTTACAAGATAATAAGATTGATTATAATCTCTTACTCACTTCACCACGTCGATGTGCTCAAATCGTCTTGGTTAGCATGAATTTGGTTTACTTACTTTCGGTCTTGGTCCACCCTTTTATGCCCACCACGAGTGACTTGATTTTGAAACAACTTAACGCACCTCAACGAAGTTTACCCCTTACGTTTGGAATCGATCTCTTACCTGGACATATGATTGGTGAAGCAGTTTATCTCTTTAGAAAGATTGACGCCGATCGAGGTTCGTTTTGGAGAAAACAGTATGGAGGCAACAAAGTGACTAGCAATCCGAGCGGAAGTCCAGCCCCTTCAAAGAAAAGTCAAAAGAAAGCCAACAAATCGAAAACTAATCAAACTACTGTCACTTATACTGGACCTAAACCTGATGAAATGATCAAGTTGGAAGAAAAGATTCAACAACAAGGTGATGAAGTACGTAAGATGAAAGCAGGAGAAAGCGAAGGAGATTTAGGAAACGAGTTATCTAAATTGATGGAACTCAAGAATCAATTGAATGAAATGATCAATAGTCTAAATGGTGAGTCAAGTTTGGTTTATATCCTTTTTAGAAAGGGAATTGAAAACTTGCTAATTTATGGGTTTTTGTCTTTAGCAACGAGTTTGAATTGAATTGGATTGAAGAACGATCAAGTTGATTGATCTTTTGATTGGATTTGTAATTTGAAAAGCTATGAAGACTAGTACCGATTTCAATTTTGTGGAAATATGGATTCAATTTTTTTTCATTTGGTATCATGAATTTGTTTGTTTATTTGTGATTGAAATGACACTATAAATGTTTGTCTAACCAGTTTTGATCTGGTATCAATCTTGACAACTTTTTGTTCGTTGATAAGAGTTAGTGCGAAAGTCATTGAGCCAACCAAGTGTCAATCCATGTTGACTTCTTCGTCTACATTATTAAAGGCCTCTGCGTAATCCATCTTGTACTTTTTGTTGTCAGCTGTCTAAGAAAGCCAGTCAAATTGGCAGGAACTAACTGCAATTCAATCTGAAAGAAAGAAAATGGACTTCAATGAAAGACAAGTCTTCTAATCTCGACTCAAGGAATTCTGCAAGTCCTTGAAAGATTTTGACCATCGAAAAAATCAATCAAAAACTTGTTTCATAAAACCTCATGATTTTTTACCAGACCCACTCGAATGTTTCCATCAATTTGATACCCAATGCAAATTGTTTCTCTATACAAGTACAAAAATCTTCATCATATTATAAAACCTCTAAATCCCATTCCGAAGTATAAACTGACTCCCTTCTTCATCTAAACTGATTCTCATCTATTCCCACCCAACCGACAAGATTATCAAAACTTCAACTACAAACCTGTAATTGTAATACTAGATTAAACAACTTGATCAAGTTTTTTTCCGAAAAAGATTATGGTAGGTCCTTTGAGTCGTTTGTTTTACAAGTTCTTTTATCCATAACCGATCATCACAAACCCCCCATCTCAACGTTTAGCAGAATTAGCAGCTTCTAAAAAACCCCAAACCCAAATACCCAATTCAGTGATCTACAATCCAAAAAAAAGAAAATAAGAAGTATGAATCAATGAATTGCTGACCTTTACGAGTAGCATCTTCTAGTAATTGAGTATCAACTGCATTTTTTGGAATTTGTACGTATCTTACTACCGATCCACGTATGAAACAATTCTTCACTGCCATCTATTTCGTAAACCAAAGTTCAAACCAAAAAAAAAAACCAAAAACCCAAAGAAAACAAAACACAAAACGAAAAACAAAAAAACCAAATTAAAAAAAAAGCTTTAGTGGTTTTCGTGAATTGGAAATTGAAAGATCAAAGCTTTTACCATATGAGGGTACCTTTCTTGATCTAAAACTTTTATATTTTCAAGTTTAAGATTAAGAAACCTATATTTCATTCGTTTCGTTTTTTTGTTCATTTTTTTGTTATATCGTTTGTTTTTGTTGAATCATTTTGATTGTGTCAAATCGTTTGTTTTTTGTGAAATCGTTTTGATTGTGTCAAATCGTTTTTTGTTTTGTTATATCATTCGTTTGTTAAATCGTTTGTTTTGTTATATCGTCATTTTGTGAAATCGTTTATTTTTTGTTAAATCGTTCGTTTGTTATATCGTTCGTATTTAGTTAGATCGTTTCGTTCATCAAATCGTTTGTTTTTGTTCAATCATTCGTATTTGGTTAAATCGTTTGTTTTTGTTAAACCGTTTTTTGGTTTTATTATTTGAATCATCAGACATACAATCAAATCCATCCATAACATAAAAGAAGAATTTTTCCAAAAAAAACCCTTTCACTCAACTGATCAACACTTGCTAAAGTTCCTTGAATAGCTAAATCATTTTTCAATTCAATAGTAACTTCTTGACCCGTAAGAGTTTTAAAAACTGAAAAAATTAGCTAAGAAAGTAACTCATTCAGATATCGTTAGTGATTGATGGAAGTGAAATTGTTGTTAAGTTTGACTTACCATTTTGGAAAAAAGTTAAAAGGTTTAGAGATTCAAAGTCGATCAAGAATAAAGCCAAGATCAAATTCATGTTTCATCATCATCCGATCATCGGGTCGGGTACCGTACTAAAGCTCAACGGGTAACCTCAACAACGATCAAAATCACCCAATCACGTTTCAAAAAGTTGATAGGATCTTAATTCACTTTGTCAAATTAGTAACACACAGTTCAACATTAATCAATTCTATTCTAATCAAAACACAATTATATAAAAAACCATAATTAGTTACTAAGATAAATACTACTTTTTTAAAAAAAAAGATAAGATGCGAAATTACAAAGAAACATAAAAAGAAATCACAAACGAACAAAATAAATAAAAAAACAAATTCTAAGATATTAAAGAGACGAAAATATATAAACATTGAACGAATGCCAAACAAACAAAAGTAAACCAAAAGTAAACCAAGAATTATGTAAAAAAGGAACGAGAGAAATTAAATTAAATTGATTTTTTCACAAAAGAAAAAGAAATGCCAGCAATAAATCAAAGAGTTTTTTTCTTCTTCTTCTGCCGTCGAGTTTGAGTATCAATCCCAACCATCTTTCAATTCATCTTCTTGAAATCCCATCTTTTTCCACATCACCTTCCACATGATCTCAGATTCTTCTTCAGAATAAACTTTTTCAGTCACTTCAATTTCTTTGGGATTCGAAACCGATGGTAATTGACAAATGACTCGATCCTATTCGATTCCCAAAAGAAAAAGGAAAAAAAAACCATCAAAAAAAAAAGAAAATCATCAAAAAATGTAACCATGACTTACTAAACCAAGAGTTAATCTAATCATAGGAGGACTAATTACATACTCCTCCAAATCCTTCTGATACCCATTCACGAGCCCATCAACCAAGCCCAACACATTCCTCACAGCCACCTCAGCCTGATTCCAACCAGTATGACCAGCCTTAAGAGCTCCAAATCCCTCAATACAATCCCCAATAGCAAAGACCTTTTTCCAAACAACTTGATCATCCAAACTTTTTCTTTCTTCGTTTGATTGAGCACAATCACAACTGATCGGTTGACCAAATTCCATCTGAACAGGTGATGGACCAAATGAAGAAGGTGAGAGTTGTAAGAACCGATTCGTGGTGATGTATTGATTCGAACCTCGACCTCCTGGAACTGATAATGGACAAAACTCTGCCATTAATGACGTATTAGGAGTTTGTCCTGTACATAATAACTAAACCAAAATCAAACTCAAAGATGATAAGTTATTGGATCCTGATCGGAAGGAAAGAAAGAATTGCTTACTACTAAATCAGCTTCCCAATACAGATCCGAATCACGTATCGATTCCACCCTGATCACGTCTATTTTTCCTTCTGCTTGTGAAACTAAATCTTGATTCAATTTAATCAAATTCACTCGTTCACCTAAAACGGTTTGGATCCCAAACTCTTTCAAGACAGATTTGATTCTGGTATCGATTTGAGGTTTGAACTTGGGCAAGAAAGTGGCCCTCGAATGAATCAAGGTGATCGTTTTAGGTTGACCTTTTTGTTGATAATGATGAGAGATATCTGTTGCATCTGTTCAACAAAAAAAATCAATGGGTTATTAGAAAATTGGGGTTTCGATGGGATGAGAGGTCAAATAGAATTACATTGGATTCCTAAGGGACCACCACCTACGATGATGATTCGATTTGATTTAGAAATTTGAGTTTGTTGAAAGTTTAAGAAATCGATTCCATTTGATTTAGATCGATCTGAATGAGTTGGTAATTTAAGTGGAGGTGGAAGATGTGATCCAAGTGCCTAAAGAAATGGATAAAGTAAAACAATCAGTATTTTGATGACGCAAGAGAGTAAAAGATGAGAGTGATTACATAGATTAAATAATCCCAATGAATTTGATGGGTTGGATGAGAAGTGTTGTTTAAGTGAACCGATTGATTTAAGATGATATGATTAGATTTAATTTGAATGACTTCAGCTTGAATGATTTGAAATTGATGATGATGATTAATTGAAGCGGATGATTTAGATAATAAATAATTTATATAAGTATGATAAGGTATGAAAGCTTTTTGACTATGACCTTGAAGTACACCATGACGAGGAAACGAATAGATATGCTAAGAATCAAAGAAACGATTGATTAGTTTATGTTTGTTTTGAGAATTGGAATTGTAAGAAAAACAAACGTTAAAATGTGAATTACGTTCGATCAAAAGAATATTAAAGATTGAAGTTGATGATAAAGAATGATAAGTTGGATGATGAAGTAGTTGATTGATAAAGTATTCTAATGCATGTAAACCAGCATAAGAACCACCTAAGATGATGATAGAGAATGAATGAGATGAATGAGATGAATGACTACTTTGAATGGTTTCGATCGAATTCAATGTTAAATTCGAATTAGAAGATCTAACTGATTGAGAAGAAGAACTCAATAACATCTCTTATCAATCTAATCTAATCCTAATCCTAATCAACTCTTCAGTGTTGAGATTAGGAAGCTAAATGATAATAGTATTAGTAGACTGCTGCAGGACTCAGGAATGCGCCTACAGAGGTATCTGATGTAAATTCCGACGTTTTGTTGGCGGGTTTTGAGGGCACTAAACGACACATTCACAGCACCTACAGTAGTGCAAAATGTGCGTGACATTAAAGGCTTTCGTTTAAGCTAGCTTTCAACCTCATAGCACCAATAATTCCTGAGATAATGGTATGTAACGGTCAAAAAGAGCCTTAAAATCGAACGTCGGAATCAGGCCTTGGAGGCACGAAAAAAAATTGGGCCAATCGATTTTGCGCGAAAGTGAGGGGAGTTGAGGGGCTGGGAGTAGGCTCATTTGATAGCCCTAGTCCATGCGCATCTTTTGAAGTGCTCTGGACCTTGAGACAAGGAGTGGTGTGTTGTGTAGAGCCCAAAAACTGAAAAACAGGTTTCATCAGATACCTCTGTAGGCGCATTCCTGGGTCCTACTGCTGCTAGTAAGTAAACAGGAGAAAAAGCAAAAGAGGAAAGAAAGATGAACAGTTGACTGATTACTGATTACTATCTGATTAGATAATCAGATCAGATTAGATCAAAAAACTCAATTTACATACATATGTAGTACTTAAACCTTCAAATCGATCCTAATCCTAATCTTAATCATCAAACTTACAAGCAAATCCAATCCTTCATTCATGCTTCGATCAACCAACACTCCCAACTCAGCTCGTCAATTCGGGTAGACTGCTTGTCTTTAGCAGCTACCTAATCTGAAATTGATCAACTCATACCACTCAAACCAAGACTCCATCATCCCACTCAAGAAACAATCTTCAATTACCTCATCTATATATATAGTATAAATAACCGACCATTCACCAAAAAAAAAATCACATTTTTGATTCATAGAAACATCCCACTTTAAAAAAACCAAAAAAATTCACAAAAGAAAAAATAAAAACTCATTTTATTCATTATATTTTTCTTTTTTAAAAAAAGTATATATATGTATCCAAATCAAAGACTGTTCCAAAAACAAAAAAAAAAGTGATTTTTTTAAGGTGATTTTTTATATCGTATTTTTTTTCTTCTTCGGAGGGAAGGGGGGTTTTAAAGACTCATTGATCTTCATCACTTCTACATTTACTACTACTACTACCATACTACTACTACTTGTACTTATATTCCTTTCAATCTCTTTTTGTGTTTCCTAACTTATCATTCTTATCTACATCACTACTCATTTCACAATTCAAACACACTTCATCTCCCTTTCACATACACACACAAAACAATAGGCAGTTCAACGCGACCAAGAAGGTGCAGAACTATAAGATGTGTAACCATTGGTATGATTCCCATTGGTGGTAGCTGCTGGGGTAGCGGCTGCTGCTGCTGCCGCTGCCGCTGCTCCAGGTGGAGCCCATTGTGGAGATTGTGGAGAGGTTTGAGGTGAGGTAGGTGAGTACTGTAGATAGAAGAGTAATGCTGAGTCAGCATAGAGAGAGGATGAGGTGATTGGGAAAAAACGTACTTGAGGGCTTGTAGGGCTGTAAGCCGGTGAGGCAGGCTATAGGAACCAGAAAGATTTTAAATAACGGTCAATCATACGGCGAGGAAAGACATGCTTACGCTGTACTTAGGGCTTGCAGGACTATAAAGCAACACAGAAACAGAAAGAACATGTTAGCGGGCCAAGAATGAAGTATAGTCGCATAGAGAGAGAGGTGGATAGCTTACGAGAATGCAGGCGACTGAGGAGACCACCTCTGAGTGGCCGGAGAGTATCTATCGATGCGAAAATTGATGTTCATGGTCAGATACATAAAACAAAGTTAGGAGATAAACTAAGATCGAACTCACTTTGGTGATGCCGGTGAGAATGCCGGGCTAGCGGGACTGAATCTGAAGAAAAAATAAAGATTGTTATTGATAAAGAACCCCACTTGAGAATGGTTCGAAACTTACTTGGGCGAAGAAGGTGACATCGCAGGTGATGTAGGTGAATAGCGAGGAGAAGTAGCAAGACCGATACCAGCACTATAGAATCAGGAAACTCAGTCAGTGCGCATGCAATGGGCGTTACAATGAAGAAAAGACTACTTACGAGTAGTTTGGACTGCTTGGTGAGAACCGCGGGGAGGCGGGCTGCGAAAATGAGGAAGAAATGGTTATAGTTTAGTGGAACGTATATAGGAACAAGAAAAAAGATGATGTCTAATGAGGGAAACGTACAGAAAATGATGGCGATGTTGGCGACTATCATGAGAGTTCAAGAGAATAAGTCAGTCTGAGTTGAAGAGTCATGGACTAAGCCCGACACTTACAAATGCTGGCGAAGCCGGAGACTAAGTGAATCAGACATAAAAGAGGGGTCAGCGGAAGTGACTTGTGCGTGAACGGGATATGAGAGATTGATCAATACTCACAAAATTGGGCGAAGCCGGTGACTAGAGAAGTCATCGAAGTTGACGTGGTTATCAGGGGAGATGTAAGCATACACATCCTGGTAGAAAAGAGAAAGAGTGGAAAAGGCTTTGTCGCCCAAACTTACGAAATTAGGGGACGCAGGTCTATTGGGTGAAATCGGATCCCAGGCAGTGTTCATCAGTCTCTTGAGCGACGAAGAACATGATAAAAAACAAAAGGCAAACTTACGAAAATCGAGGACTGGTGAGACCCATCCTTGGACTCGTAGGGCTATAACCTGGTGAAGTCCCACTTGGCATCCACGGCGACGCACCACCCCAAGCTGGACTTGTAGGAGTGTATGCAGGACTAACGGCTGGATTGTAAGAAGGACTCGACGGTGAATAACTAGATAAGAGAACAAATGTCAGCCGGATATCTAATCGATGGTCCAGATAATGCACTTACCCAGGAGAAGTGCCACCACCTGCCCCATATGGCGATTGTCCACCATAACCTCCGTAGATATCATTACTTGCTCCGTATCCGTCATCAGCCCCAGCTGTGATGATAGGTGAGAACATTGCACGTGGGACTGGTGCATCATCGAACCGAGCTGGGGTTCGACCATCACCCAGCTCAGCGTAGGGTGTCATCCCTCCACCAGGCGTCATGGCTCCATCAACAAACCTGCCACCCATGATTTCTCCGGCCACTGGTAATCGATGGTCGATGACTACATCCTTCAACATTTCGAGATCCAATGCCACGTCGAATGCACCAGTACCCATCGGGGCTAGCTGACCTAGCAGTACGTTCTCAGCCACACCGGTACAATGATCCTTCTCTCCCGTCGCAGCTGCGTCCATCAAGATCTCCACAGTCTCTTCAAAAGAACATCGCATGAGCGGCCCAGTGTCAGCTCGATTGATACCATGCCGAGTGATGGCCATCAGTGAACCTCGATTTGTCATCAGATCACACAAGAGGGCCAAATGTCGATAATTAACATATGATCCATCAAATTCAATGACGTTTCTTAATTCTTTCAGAACTGAAGCTCGAGCGGCTTCGATACCTAAAACCGTCATGATTTCAACACAATTGTTTGACACCGTCCGCACTGGATCGACTCCATCAACACACAAGACTTTCTTCAAGTTGATGCCATCCGTCTCCAACACCCATTCGGTCTTTCGGTCAAATTCCCCGTTTTGACAAATGTAATTGCGATTATGTTGAAGCATAAAGACTCGTTGGATACCTTCGACACCACGTAGAGAGATACTTCCTAACATCTGTTCAATTTCCCTCAGGAAGACGTCTTCTTCTACTTGATCATCATCTTCATCCTTGTCTTCGCCAGACTGCATCGCTCGACAACGGATGATAAGTTTCTCAGCATTATCTTCTGACCAGATGATGAAAAGGTCCGATTTGAAGACTTCTGCAATTCGAGATGCTACAAAACTCATCGACAACTTCTTGTCCAACATCTTTGCACGATCGAGCTCGAGGCGGAGTAACCAAGGGGATTGTCGATCGATTTGTGATTCGACTTCATCATCAGGAACTGCAAAGAAAGCATCGACGAAATCGACATCTTCTTCAACAACAGTGCTCTTAGGATCTGGATCGTAGATGATTTGGGTCGAAGCCGTGACGGTCTTGAGATTGGTATGTGCAAGTTCAGTTTGGATATCTTTTGCAGCTTCAATGTCATTCGAAAGCTCTTCGTTCAGATAGACCGTCAAAGAAGGTGTCTTGATATTGAGGGCCACATTGATAATCTCCTTGAGTCGAGGCACACCCAATGTAACGTTCTTACTCGATACACCGGCGTAATGGAATGTATTCAGAGTCATCTGAGTTGCAGGTTCTCCGATGGACTGTGCTGCTAATGTGCCACACATCTCTCCAGGGGCAGCTAGCGATTGATTGAAACGAGCTTCAATTTCACCTAATACCCATACGAAAGCCTCCCGATTGAGATGGAATTCTTCTAGCACTCTTCGAGTAGCGAAATTGGACCGGAGCAGAATTCGGAACAGGAGAGTCGCGTTGTCTTGAGCTGCACGACTAAGTGCGTCATCCCCACGAACAACGATGATCCGTTCGCAAAGATCGTGAACCATCTGGATGATCTCCTGAGGAGGGAGATCACTCGGTTTCCTGAAATCGATGTGAAAGATTTGCTGAGCGTTTTGAACGATTCGACGGATATTGACCGGTAATGGTTTCCGACCATTACCATCAGTAAAGATAAAATGACGAAGTGATTGTCGGTCTTCCTTTAACTGCTCCCATTCTCCATCTAAGATCTTCTGAAGTGTAAGTGAACTACTGTCTAGACCAACTTGTAGGACACCCGGTTTATAAGTCAGACTGGGGTCAGTGACATCAACCCTAAATTTTCTCTCAAACTTTTCATGCGACAACCTTACGCTGTCGAAGTTTTGATACTCTACAGTTCCTCCATCAACCCCATCTTCACCATAAACGAACTGCACGATATCACCTAATGAGTTTCGTACCGTTCCATCATAAGCCACCATCACATCCTCTAACGCTTTCACCAATCTTCTTTGGATATAACCTGTCTCTGCTGTTTTTACAGCGGTATCAATCAAACCTTCACGACCAGCCATAGCATGAAAGAAGAACTCCTGTGGTGTCAATCCACGAAGATAGGAATTCTCAACAAATCCACGAGATTCGGGCGAGTAATCATCCTTGGTGAAATGGGGCAAGGTACGATACTTGAAACCGTAAGGAATTCGTTTACCCTCAACCGATTGTTGTCCGACACAAGCTGACATTTGAGAGATGTTGATGAATGAACCTTTCGAACCAGCCGTGACCATCTGTTTGACGTTATTATCATCCTTCAACGATTGTTCGGCAGATCGACCAGCATTATCACGAGCCATGTTCAAGGCTCGATTCACTTTGGCCTCGAAGGATTCTCGGATGGTCATACCAGGTTCAGGTTGCAACTTGTCCTCTTGAGCCATCGAGATAACGTTGGCGACTTCGAGTTTAGCCTCGGATATAAATTTGGTGATGGTTTCCATCGTCCCTTTGTCAGGGACGGTATCACCGATTCCAATACTGAAGCCATGATGTAGCAACCAGTAGTTTACCACCATTTGAATGCCTGAAAACAGACCCCTCGTGACCTCTGGTCCTTTCTCTCGGAAGATTACATGAATGATTCCTCCTTGAGAGGCACCGACAGTCTTCTTATCAACCACACCATAGATGATCTCTCCATCCTCAATCCACATCCCTTTATCGGCAACAGGAATCGAAGTTTGATTTTCATCGTCTCGGAATAGGTTGATTCCTTTTGGTATACACATTGATAAAATCTGTTTTCCTGTCCACAACGGCTTGGGCTTGAGAATAGCCGGAGGCGGAACAACACCGTCCCAACCTGGGACCCACAACAAGATATTCTGAACAAAATCTCGATCCATGAAACAATCTCGTAAAGTAAACTTCCGAACCCCACAGAGCGTGTCTTGAACGATACCCATAACTGGTTTATTTGCTTGAGGTGAGACGATATTACGAGGGACCCAAGCAATTTGAGCGAGTTCAGCGCGAGTCTCTTCAGACTGTGGAACGTGCAAGTTCATTTCGTCTCCGTCAAAACTAAAAAAGTAGTTTAGAGAACGAGACAAATGTGTTAGCATCCACCCGATAGCCCCACCCGAGGGTCGGGTACTGCTTACTCTGCGTTATATGGTGGCTAGATAGGGGTTGAATAGGGAGGTTTATGACAATTCTCATCAGCTTAGATGGCATGGGTATCGAGTTCAGAACCAAACGACTCACAGTGACGGATAAGTTGAGTCGAAATGTAGAATAAGGCATCAATTTGATACGATGTGACACTGCAAGTGAAAGCGATTGGTCGGCATTAGACGTAACACATCTGAAAAGGAAGAGAGCGCAATTCGACTTACTCATACTCATCTTGTGCAGCGATGGTTGTCGGTTGAATAGCACATAATCACCATCCTTTAAATGCCTCTCAACAATCCATCCATATTGTAAAAACGTGTCGGCTCGTTTGTTGTAACGAAGATCGATCCGATCACCCGTGTCTCGAACCACATATCTTGCACCTGGATACTCAGTCGGCCCATTACGCACAAGTTCTTGTAGATAGGTGATATTGTAGGGCGTCACCCGTTCCGGGTAGGTTAAATTCCGAGCGATAGAGTAGGGTACACCGACCTGATCAAGCTGAAGGTTTGGATCTCCAGTAATTACTGTCCGTGCAGAGAAATCAACACGTTTACCCATCAAGTTACCTCTCAATCGGCCCTCTTTTCCCTTAAGTCGTGATCGTAATGATTTGACAGGCCGACCCGATTTTTGAAGAGCTTGGGGTTGACCTGGTAGATCGTTATCCATATAGGTTGCAATGTGCCACTATATGGAAGTCGAAGTAAAACCAACGTGCAACGGTCAGTACGAGTAGACGAGTCAGTGAAGTGAGATGAACTGTCACTGACCTGAAGTAGAGTTTCAAACTCTGTGATTACATGTGCAGGTGCACCCTCGCTCTCGAATTTTCGGACGGCTTGATTCGCTTTGATGACTTCAGCTAACTTATAAGTCAAATCATCCTCTCCACGACTAGTACCACCGTCCATAGCGATACTTGGACGAACAGGTGGAGGAGGAATAGGTAAGACTGTCAGTACCATCCACTCCGGTCGAGCTTCTTCGGCATGTAAGCCAAGAATCCTGAGGTCTTCATCCGAAATCCGCCGTAGGATCGATAACGCGTCAGATGCAGGTAAAGGTCTTCGTTCTGTTCCAGCCAAGCTGTGACCACCCTCGTCATCTTCTTCACCTTTTCTTCTTGTATATTGTAGAAACATCTTAAGGCCTTCTTTTCGAATCTGAGGCTGAGCATGACCACAACCACCATGCCCTTTAGGTTGTTCGTCTTCTGGCCGTGGGGGTTCCTCTGGATTTTCCGGTTTTTCGTCGTTTGCGTCAGCTTCGCAAATGTTCTTGCCACGACAGTGCTTGTGGACCATGACAAATCGACGTTTCGGATCTCGAGCTCGTCTGACCATCTGGGCTAGGACAGGATCTGTGTTCTAGGTAGGGTGATGGAACGAGGTGAATCAACTTGTCGATAGCAGGAAAAAAGATCTGTATAACCCAACTAAATCGGACTTGAGCTTTCCACACTGCACACAAACACACTCCAGGATTTTCTTGACGCGATTCAGGAACCCTGATGATCGTACAGACAGGAAACAGGCGAGTCAGTGAGCCAAATGTAACAAGAGTAAGTCAAATTTAAGACGCGATCAAGATATATGCGATGTAAAATGGATAGATATGAATGATGAAAGTGAAATGTTACAGACCGACGTGATAGACCGGTCGAGCAAGTTCGATATGTGCAAAGTGTCCAGGACACGTAGACATCTGAGAGCAATCCACAGTGTTAGCTGGTGCTAGTTGCTGAATTGTAACAAGCTGCACACATCTTCACCACATGTCTGACATTTCATATTCCTGTCAATAGTTCCCATTCGCGGGTCTGACAGACCACCCTATATAAAAAAACAAAACAGATGTAAGTTTGGAATTTATGGTGATTGGTGAGATTGAATTTGATTGTATACGGTGAGGTTTTTCTTTATTTTCGTGTATGAGATGACTGACCACTTTAGGATGAACACCACCTTCTTCGTAAGTTTCAGGATGTTCGATTTTGGCAACGCTAAAGCCTTTGATCTCATCGGGAGACATGATACCGAATTGAATGGTACGAACCCGTCGAGTGGGAGCACTCGAATGGACAAATTGATTAGAATTCATGTTGACGAGTGATTATTTTGATTTTTACGGCTAGGAGGAGTCAGTCGAATAAGCAAGCAGATGTAGAAGGATGGGGAAAGGCGTAGAAGAAACAAAACGAGATTCGAATGTTGATGGGATGTCGTATCTGGTAGAATGGAAGCAGGTTCGAATTTTGACAGTCGATCGAAGTGTGAGCCTGTTGGAAGGTGAAGAAGATGAAAGTTAGCATCAGATTTATCAAGGCGATCGATAGATAGAGGATGAATTGAGGATGGATAAATGAACCGAGTTGAGTGAGTAAATCAAATCTTGAGTGGCATGAGAGGCGATTAAGATCAGGACGATGAGATTCTTCCTTATTTTTGTTCTTTTTGATCGAACGGGTCTTCTTTCTTGAATTTTATGAGCTCGATTCTTGATACTTGATTGAATGAGTTTTAATGAGTTGAAGTCAATAGTTTGGTTTCAAAAGATTAGTTTGATTGATTGATTAATTAACTTTCGATCGTTCGATGATTGAAGTTCTACTCTGATAAAGACTAGTGGTCAACTTGAATGTTGAGTTAGTTCCTTTTTTTAAATTGATTGATGTTGTTGAGGTGTTGATGAAGTGACGAAGTAATGAGACTCGGTGACTGCAATTCTAAGTGGGTTGAGTTGAGTGCATGCAGGGTGATGGTTCGAGGGAAAAGAACTCGTTCAAACTTCATCCTCATGGCTTTAGTGCACTACTAGCCTATGGCTCTTAGGAGGTTCCATCAGTGACGCCATGTTTTTATCATGTCAGATTCTGTTTTAGGCATATGGATTCGCATCTTAAGCCTGTATCTCGTGACTTTTGCCCGTTAAGGCTTCTCGACTTTTTTTTAACTCTGTCTGTCGCGCGCTGGCTTGCCTTAAAAAGCCTCTTGAGCTTCACCCGCGCCTGGCCTGTGCACCTCGTCGCGCTTCACCTGTTCACAATTGACAGCATCACTCTGATCTACAAGACCTGATGTTCAGCTGGATTGCCCATACGAAAACCAAATTTCCAACTGATGGGTAATCAAGATTTGTTGATTTTTTCAAGTGTTGCAGCACACTTTGTACCCGACCCATCACAGCCACTTTGTATCAAATTCTATTTGGTGACAACATCACGCATACAAATGAAGATTATGTAATTCAACTTCAAGATCCAAGCTACAATTTGACCTCAGCAAACATATTTTTGAACTTGCCGTAACATTTACAGTCATTTAAGAAAAGCTTGCCCCAAATTGCCCGCAAAACTCAAGCGAATTGGCGGGGAATTTGGGGCAAGCTCTTCTTAAATGACTGTATTTACATATTTGTTAGCTTTCAAAGTTTCAGTTTGTATTCTATTAGATTCTATTCCCAAAAAGTACACTACGGTCCAAACTTTAAGGGCAAATATGTCTTCAAAACACCCTCAGTATTGACATTCGAGAAACATGGAACTTTACCTACCAGTGACAAATGCGTTATATGATTGTGATGTAGATTTTGTGTTTTTGTAGAAAAAATGTAAATTCAATGTATTTCTTATTGTGATTTGAAAACATATACGCTTGAGGTATCTCGATACCTCATCAGAACATAAATTAACCACAACATAAACTAAACGTGCCCATTACAAACTCAACAGGTACTTCCTATATAGCTTCCATGTTTAAAGTAGACTAGAGTAGACTGCTGTAGATTGTTCAGCTTCTGATACCAAGTCCCCAAGCGAGGTTTGACTTTTGGAAAACCAAGTCATATGAAGTCGAGTCATTTCCCTTTTGGCAACAAGTCACAGATCTCTTTGCACATCATTCCGCTCTTCCACTCGTTTTTATATGGTTTCTTCTTTGTTTTTCTTTCTTTTCGCCATCCTGCTAACATATCCATTCTCTCCCATTTTCCTTCTGACTCAGGTTCTCTGAGTCCGCAAAGGTCCTCAATCCGATAAGGTTAAAAAACATAAGCATCCAATCTGTGATACACCAAGATACGCCAGTCTGCCTTCGTCTGCTTCGTTTTGAATCCTATGTTGACCAAGTTTTCTTTTTTCTAAATCGTTCCATTCTTTCCACTCAATTCCTTCTTCACAATCTGTACCATTCACACATCTCTCCCACGCAGCTCTCAAACCCTTCTCCAGATTAGTGATCCGGCGTATTGAATACTACTGAATAACACCGATCGATCTCGCGTCTCGAATGATCAACGTCGCAATAGAGCCAACTCGCTCATTCCCGCAGTCAGATAAGCAAGCACCTTCTGTGGTTCTTGCTCGGGAGTGACCATTAGCGACACCTGATAATTGAGACTCTTTGCTAGCTGAATGGCTTAATCTTCATACTCATCGAGGTATAAAGCCAAGACGGTTACTGCAAATGAATTCGAAGATGCTGATTTAATTTGGGATCAATTTAAACATGATATCATCCAAAGGGTTTTAAGGTATGGTGATGTACTTGTTAAGTAAGTGTTTTATGAAAATGATCCTTTTTGTGGGATGGGTTTGGGCAAGGGATCGGTGATTGATTTTCTTTGGTTTTTTAGTTTGGTTCGATGATTATGTTGAGGATGGAACATCAAGATTACTAAAATTGAAAAATTTGTTTCATAAGTGAGTAAATTGATTCTATTATCCCTTTTTTGAAAAGTTGCTACCCTTTCATCAATACAAACTGATGATTTTGGGGTTTCTCTTCCCTACCAAAATCGATGTGGACGTGGGTCGATGGTCGCTTACGTTGGATCAAAAAGCTACCACCGCCATCACAAGCCAGGTATGTGGTTAGCAAGTTGACCTACCCATCCGCTGAGCTCTTGCTGATGGAATTTGTGTTTAGATTCAAAAATCTGGTGATGGAGACCGATCGCAAGGTTTTTGATGGTACTTGCACGTTTGCAGCCATCATGACAACACACAAGGATGATATAATTCTTCCTGACAAAAACAAGGGGGAGCAAACATGAACTGAATATTGACTGATTGTGAACCAACTTGTTATCTTATTTTTCTTTTCTTTTACTTTCCTTTATTTTAGTTTATTTTCTTTCACTTTCTCTTCTTTTATGGGTTCCTCCAACTACTTCTTTACATTAAAGAACTTTTTGTCGATCGAAGATTGTCGTTCCTCTTATTTCTGTTGCGCATCTGGAATGTATACAGCCTCTGATGTTACTACATTTGCTGCGTATCAACCCAGTTTGCATGGTATCGTGACCCAAGCGAAACGAAATGCAAGCTCCAGTATGGAGCGCGCTCACTGGATTAAAAAACACGGAATCAAAAATATATATACAAAAATAGCGGCTATACAATAAAATCACAATTTGAATCGAATCAAACTGAGACCCGATTAAAATCTGGGGTGGATCCATGTTCCAGAAACATACGACTTATGTAAATGAGATGTGCAGAATACATTTCACAGATGTAGCTAAAAAGATTTTGTCAGCAATATGTTGCAAGTATGTCTGACTTTCATACTTGATACGTTCAGCATTCATGCTGATTACATAACAATTATGTACGACAAGTGTTGAGCAGAGATAAACAAAACATGTTCGCAACGTAACCACATATGTTTACGTCACGTTTTTACTGGGGGTGTTTTCAAATCATCAGGAAAACATTGTTGAAACAGATGGTGAAAACATGTAAAAATTACGAATATTTTGATCCGTAGTGTAATACTAAATAGGTGATATATATCAGGTGAAATCTAGTTTTTTGACGTGGTAAAGAGCCATTCATTCTGCTGGTGATTTGAGGTAGTTATGAGTTTTACTAGACACACCTTTTTAACTCTTGAACTTGATGTTGTAGCATTACAACATTTGACTTGAACTTTTCCTACGTCTCCATTAATCTTGAAGTTATCATTACAGGCGGCTTTCTGGTCAAAAGAACAGCCATTAAAAGTGAGAATTCCATATAATATAAAATGAAATAAGTGCGTTGATTTTCATTTTGAAAAGTGTCAAAAATAACTGTGGAGTGACTAAATACTAGTGAACAGACAAGATAAGTAAAGATGAAGACCTCAGTATGACTTTCCCAGTCGACTTCAAATAGATTTTTATACTAACTCCAACATCACTTCCAGGAATTTTACATCCATCTTTTACTAGAAGTAGGTTCTAATCAAGCATATCCATCTTTCTCAACCTGTCAGGTAGTCCACTCGAGGACTTCGTAATAACTTGAGGTGACAGAATTCCTCGAAGCGCGAGGTACATTCCGAGATTGAGGCTTTTTCAATATCCTTTCTGTGAATCCTTTGAATTCATACGGGTCCATTTATTTTCTTTTAACTTTCAGGATTTAACAAAGATCTATACCTCGCATATGTAGCTCGACGTGAAGAATTGAAAATATTGGCAGAAGAATTTCTTTGAGAAAGACCATATTTTTATGGGATATGATTATGGGATTCTATGATTATGTGATTACAGGTGTAACCGATCAAGTGGAAACAGTGCATGTGTATTGGAATTTGGATCGAATGGAAATGACCTTTGATCAGCACAAGAACACTTTCAACATTCAACTTCAAACCACACTCAACACTCAACTCACGAATTGAAAAGGAAAGAAATCAATCCATCAATCCACGTTCAAATACAATATCAACTCTTAATCAGCCAATCTTAATCAAATGATTCCAGCTTCAGTGAAACCAAACGAACCATTAACAAGTTCATACCTTTATAGCTCATGTTCAAACCAAACCGATCCGAACTCGACTCCGAATTCAAAATCCTCAGAATGGATAATGGGAATAGATGAAGCAGGAAGAGGTCCAGTCCTAGGTCAATAATCCCATTCAAACCCAAACCCATTCAATCCTACAATCACTCATCATCTTTCATTGGTCTTCTCAAAACTAGGTCCAATGGTTTATGCAGCATCATTTTGTCCAGTTGATTTTTCAGAAGAACTCAAGTCTTTAGGTTTCGCAGATTCCAAAACATTAACTCATCAAAAAAGATGTAATCTATTCGAATCGATCGTCCAAAGTTCTGGAAAAATCCAATGGAATGTAAAAGTTATGAGTCCTTCTGATATCAGTATGGGAATGTCACGTAGATCTCCTTATAATCTGTTAAGCCATTCTTCTATTCTTCTTTTTGAGTTTTGGTTTAACTGATCTTTTTTTTGGTTGGATTGGATTGGTTTAGGAATGCTCAAGCATTTGATGCAACTGTTCAAATCATTCAAGCAGCTCTAGATCATCAATACATTCTTCAACATATCTATGTAGATACACTTGGTCCTCCCAAAACCCATCAACTTAACCTACAAAAAGCTTTTCCTAATCTTCATTTCACAGTCTGTAGTAAAGCAGATTCGATTTATCCGATTGTTAGTGCTGCAAGTATAGTGGCTAAAGTTACAAGAGATGCTATTGTTGAGAATTGGATGTTTGTGGAATTATCTATTGGTAAACGTAAAAGACTTGAAGAATCCCAAGATGATGATGATGACTCGATTTGGAATTTACCTACTGGTTCTGGTTACCCAGCTGGTCAGTCTTTTTTGCATTCCACTCTTTTTACCTTGTTCGCATCATCTTGACTTTTGATTTGTTTGATCTTCTAGATCCAAACACGACCGCATGGCTCAAAAGCCACTTTGATAAAGTCTTTGGTTATCCTCAACTAGCTCGGTTTAGTTGGGCAACCGTTAAAACCTTGCTAGCTGATCGAGGAGCTCAAGTTACATGGTACATTGCTTTTACATATCTCTTTCACTCCGGGTTCATTGTATTTATATTTTCGAATTCTTTTTTCAGGAACGATGAACCTGCTAAAATTCAAAAATGGTTCAAAGAAGGTCAATCTGGTTCAAACTCCAACCCGCCTACACTTATCTCGAAACACTTTGGTCTTCAAACAATCGGTTCGCTTTAATCATCTAGGGCTTATTTATCGTTTTCTCTGTACTTTTTGGAATTTTCTTCTTTTTTTATTGGTTCATATCCTCTTAGGTTGTACAAAGTTTAAAAACTATTTGTCTTCTAGATTGTTATCTATGTCAAACCATCAAATCAATGTACTTTCTTTGTTACCCAAGTCAAGAATACAAAGAAAAAAAAATCAAATTACAACATGAAAAAAAAGATTGCAGCATCATCTTTATCAAAAAGCAACCGAAAAAAAATATGTATGTACATCTTGTAGAATCCTGCACAAAATAATTTCTTGGTTGTTGAGAAAGAATCAGTAAAAGAGATGAAATCAAACATGCTCACAGTCTGGTAGTATAGTACTGATGATTATGCTTGAAGTGCAATATGCTTGCCATACAGTGCTCCATGCACAAACAAACAAATAAAAAAAAGAAAACGTCAAGATATAGCAGAACAAATTATATGAAAAACACGAAGAAAAAAGAAAGAATAGAAAACAATTCCTAACACATGATAACCCTACTAATTACCAAAAAAAAAGGTGAGCGAAATAAGATGTTAATTAAATTGTGAATCATAGAACCCATGAAAAGGATAGAAAAGATTAAAAAGAATTGAACAACTTGAGTAAGGGGGATCTCAAGTTTGTAAAAAAAATGATCACCAAGAAAAGAAAGAAAAAGTGAGCCAAAAGAAACTAAATCATATCTTCCTTGATGCTCAAGATCATTTCTTTATCAAACCCAGTGAACCCAAAAGAAATCGATCAAGAAATTCAAAAGGCACAATGCACAGAGAGAGAGAGAGTGATAAGAAGTAAGTGAAAAAAGAAAAAAAATAGATCTATAGTTTTACTGAAGCTTTGAATCACGAGCTTTATTTCGTTTATTACCAAACTTAAGACCCAGGATTGATCTTCGATCAGACGTCGTAGTATTTGATCTTTCCACCTTTTTATTTTTATCCGAATTCGTCACTTCAGATGTTGTACGAGTTGGAGTTGTTGTATTAGACGAAGTAGTTGGAGCTCGAACATGAGAGGTTGTTGTTCCAAGTACAAGTGATCGATTAGGATCAAGTGTCATACTGTTCCGAAAATTATTTCCATCAATTGCACTCTTGTTGCCTCCTGATGATGATACCCTTCCACCACCACTTCCACTTGACATGAAACTGTCTTTGAATAAAGGTGATGGAAAAGGCACCGAGAGTTGTAGACCCGGTGTAAAATCAGATCCACCGGTAAGTGCATCACTTGCTGCGTTCTTATATTTTGCTGATGCTCGTGACGAATTGCCCATACTACTTGATCCAATCGACATCGTGTGAGGCCGTCCTAGTGTGTTTTCGACTCCTCGGTTCGGTGGATGGAACTGAGATTGACCTTGGTTCTGAACTCCAAGGTCGAATGCTTGTGAGCTAGCGGATGGAAAATGAGACTTGAAGTCGGCACCGTCATCGAATTCATTCGCATCACTTGGAAACACCAAGGGTGTAGATGGTTGAACTGGCAGTCGACTAATTTCGTCTGTAAAGTTCTTGTAGAAAACTGCAAAAAGGATGATTCATCATTAGTTCCAAATTCTTATGACTAGCGGTTGTTGAATATAATCATGTAGCCTACATCTATATAAGGTGGAATGAAATGTTTTCATCTCAGGTGGACAAAGTGCTTGATGGAGTTTCAGGCCTTCATCAATCACAGCGGTCTGATTGTCGATTGCCTGTCGTAATAGAAGCACAGTCTCCTGTTGATCAGGATTTTGAGCGAGGTACTCGGGCCTTAAGAATGCTGTTCATTGACGCAAAAGTGTGATCAACGAGCATATCGGATAGAAAAGATTCCAAAAGATGCTCACCATTCCGGAAGGCGGGATTCCGCTATTGGCTGGAGCATCCACGGCACCATTGAGCGCCATTGACAGTGGATTGGTGTTCAGTTTCGTACCACCGGTCTTACTGAGGGCGAGATAACGCCGCTGAAGTGTATCGAGCTCTCTTGTTTTCTGATCGGTGATCAGAATCGCATTTTCGATGGGTGAGATCTCCAAAAACCTGATCTCTAACACCTCTGAACGTTGGAGTACCGTAGGGAATGCGTCTTCACAGACCAAAAAGGCTATCATAGTAAAGAAAGATGACGAGTTGATTAGATGTTTGCTTTGGGTAAAGAAAAATCGCATATTCTGCTCAGCGCAAATAATGAACTTACTTTTTTCAACCCACATCATCACCGGATCCAAATTAGGCATCTCTTCCTTGCTAAACGGACGTGTATAACTGAAAGTGTTAGTCGCATTGTTTTCATAGTATTGTCGAACGGCATTCGGGACTTCGAGATTGGTAAAGATGATCGAATTTCGATCAGGTTCAGCTTGAACCTTGGTGATGTGTAAATACTGTCCTTCGGCATACTGCAACTCATCACTTGATACTACATTGGCTCGGATGATTTGTGCATTCGGATGTTTGTTATTCATTCGATCGCAAAATTCTGCATATTTCTCAAACTCATACCCTCGATAAACGAATTGACGGTTCTGCACACTCGGTGGGAAACCTAGACCATAAAATGCAACTCTAAAATACTCGCTAAAGTAACGTTCCGATTTGACTATCTTCTGATAGAGTGAAGATTGGTGGGCCAGAACTTCGGAGAGTCGCTCGTAGTCAAAGGAGACATGTTCGTACTGCTCCTGCAGTTCTTTACATATCTGAATACCGCTCTCCCAAGCTTTACCTTTGGCGAGGTAATCCAGAATACGAAGATATAGTGTCTAGATAGTCGGCAAAAAGATAAGTAATCAATTATTTCTAATTCAAAATTCGACAGATAGGATGACTCACTTCTTTTCGCCTGAATGCTGTTTGTTTGGGAAGCGCAAGCTCTGGCATGGCTTCCACCACGGTTTCCAAGTCCCAGCTATGAAGATCGGAATGCAGTCGCATCGCGAGACTATTCATAAACAGCATAAGTCAGCAATAGTCATTCACCGTATTGAGCGTATGACTTACCCTGCTTCAACATAATTACCACAGCTTGCATGAAAGTTGACAAGCTTGTGGACATAGTGGATATAAATCCCGCTTCGTCCAATATTACGGATGAACTGGATATAGGGCAGAAGTCAGTAGATGCGGGATGTGGATGAAAAATAAGGTTTGCACCGACTCACGGACATCAACTTGAGCGTCCCGATGACCCGATCGTCAATAAACTGTTTGGACCAAAAGAAATATCAAGATCTGAATCAGCACCAAAAAAAACGGCAAGAAAGCTAAAAAAGAACACAAACTGACCTCGTCACCGGGTGGTAGATTTCGAATGCTAAGCAACAATTCCAAGAATTGGTTCGTAGACTGCATAAAAGTCTCCACCTGTTTCTGTAAATGTTCATCAATCGGATCCGATTCGAAAAGAGATTGTAATTGTCCAACAAAAAAAGCACGTGACATTTCGTCGTTCTGACTGCTAGGCGAATTTCCAAGTAAGCTATCTAACTTATCTATAATCTCATCGGTAACCACCGTGCTATAATCATACAAGAACAAGATTCAATAATCGCATTTCTCGGCTTAATCCAGGATCCATAATACTCACAGATCTCGATTGGCTTGATATTCAGTGATCATGATACTGTACAACTGCGCGATTGTTACCAGCGATTTCAATTGAAATAATCCAGATAATGAATGTATGAAGTCGAGATAGTACGTACCATTGTTACTGCATTTGTTCTCATTTCGTCGTGGTGCGACAAGCACAGTTCTAAGACGAGTTCAACGATACCAGGAATGAATTGGATTTGATAACCGCCTGTGATTCCCCACCAAACAGCTAGTCAGACGGACACAGAAAAAACCCTTGGATAACTTGAGAAGAGATATCAATCTTACCACAGGTTGTTGTATCGTCTCCAGCCTTCAAACTTTGAGATCCAATAGCTTCCCAACATCGTTTTAAGAGCTTGGATCCTTCACCCCTCACATCGCCGGCCAACTTCCAAACGGCTCTTCGTTTCTGAGGTGGGTATTCTTCTATGACTAAGTGTTGACTAGAAAGTAAACCGTGGAGAAGAACAAAAAAGTCTGACCAGAGTTCCGAATTGAAGACTCGATTCGGATCTGAAGTGGGATCACCCGACACAGGCGTTCGGTTCAAAGTGGCAAATGGAGGGATAAACTCTCGTTCCATTAGCCTTGCAACGACTCGAACCAGTTTAAGACTGGTCTTATGTGACAAGATATTAATGTTGAGCCAATTTGCCGGGAATACCTTATTCTTCAGGATTGAATGAAAGACTTTGAATAGTTTTGAAAGGAATGCGGTCAGGTTTTGTTTGCCTTCGACTTCAAGCATTACTTCCAAAAAGCTCGACAGCAACCGATCAGGCGAAAGAAGAATCATCGTCACCATCACGGCCGCAATTTCCCCAAGACCGTTTTGGGTGGACGGAACACTTTGTGACTGATTTGGATGATTGGAGCCAAAAGTGGGTTTCGTGGGCAAAGAACTCAACAAGGAGAATGGGTAGGATGCCGGGAAAACAATGGGAACCGGACTGATGACTGAGGCCGTAGTTCCAAGTCTTTGGACTGCCTCGATATTCGCCGGGTTCTCAAGTTCGGTAAAAGAATCCAGCAACTTTGGAAGTAACATGAGGAGATATTCGACATTGTCTTCTTCCTGAGCCAAGGCTGTTCGGTCTTGGTTGGTGTGAGGATCAATTAAAGCCTCGTGTAGCTTGTCCAAAGCAACGGCTATGAGTGATGTGGAAATCCGGATACCTTCAAGCCAGCTCACTCTAGCAGAATCCTTGGTCGAATCAGTGTCCTTGGCCTTGATCATCGTGTATTCTTCGAATTCGCCAAGGTGAGGTTTGACCCAAGCTGTCAATTTAGGAATCAATTGTACTCGACAATCAGGCAAATCAAAGATATGACTCATGATGATATGCTCCTGTAATAATAATTTCCATATCACAATTTTACCTTTTGTGGCCGAAATCGATTCAACAAAACTATTGGCTTTCTCAAGAAGCTCGTGCGGTCCGCAGACTTTGCCTAATTCTGGTAACAAAGCGGCGAAGTGCTGTACTGCCAAAGTCTGAGTACCAATCACAGTACTCGAATTGAGAGACATCAAGGCGGTGATTTGATTCAAGACTGAGGTGATTTCATGCTTGAATTTCGTCTCAATCACATCTGAAGTAAGTCCTCCTGAGGTAAGATCTTTGCCGCGCTGAAGTTCTCGAGACCTGATGATAAATCGCAAAAGGTATCCCCAGACCTTGATGCTCGACCGAAGCGGCTGCGCGTTCTGCGGAGATGTTGGGTTTGAGAGAAGAGATTGAAGAGATCGAATAAGATGGGTCGAGGCGGTTGTGCAGGCGAAGTGTTGATCGATGTACAGATCAACTACGGGCTTGAAGTTCGTGAACCGTCGATCAGAAACGATCCCTAGTAGAGTTACCAATGCGTTGAATACAAGATCGTTGTATTCTTTGGTTTCGGCATTGACTCTTGAGACCAGCACGCCAAACAGCGCATCGAAGATATTTCGTAAGAATTTGCAAATCTCAACCTCAGAAGCAAACTTGAGTTTAGTCAATGTTTCCTGTAATGATTGCGGCTGATCAAGAAGACGCTCCCACTTGATAAGCTTGAGGAGGACTTCATTTTGAGTATGCTGGGTCGAGCAGAGGAATGATCGAACGACAAAAGCATCTCTCAGTGGGATCAGAAGCTTGCTCAGAGCCGGTGTAATGTCTGGGGCAGTTTGTCCTGCCTCGAGCGAAGAGTTTACGCGGCAATATACTTCGGGTGTGGCGCTCTGTCGGTCATACTTGAATAATGCTAGGTTATGTTCACCATCGGGGATGAAAGTTTGATTGGTGGAAAAAAGAGGTAAGAAAGCGAATGCGAAGGGCTTGTCGATGTTGCCTGTCGTGTGATTTCGATTGTTCTTGTCTTGTCTATTTCGGAATGTAAAGAAGAGGTGACAGTCCTCAATGACGTCGGAAGAGATGTCCAATTTCATCAATTCACCCCAAGCTGATGAGGAGAAAGCAATTTGAGTATCTTTCTTCGCATCATAAAGCTCATATCATGATATCACGGACTCACTCGGGGTCTGGTTGTTTTTATAAACCATGGAATTGTACCTTGTCACTTTCGGCTCGCCTGATCCTCGGGAAATCACTCGTTCCAATACAAGTCCGGTCTTGGTCCTCAATTCAGCTGCGACTTCGATATTTTTGCCGGACGCGGTGGCAGTGATGATCTTCGATGATCCAGGATGGAAATAGGAGAAATCGCCCGACCAAAGCTTGACGTAGATCTCGTTTCTGGCTGAGCCATGCGTAAAACAATAAAGTTTGAAAGTCAATGAAGGTCATCAATCGAATATTCTGTTTCATGAATGATGAATCCGAGGTCATGTCCAGAAAACTCACAGTCATCCGGAAATACCACATCAGGAAACCCCAATCTTGATGTCAGTGGGATGTCGCTCAACCGTGCGCCGTTTTCCTTGATGATGGAAGTGGTGTCACCGTAAAACGTGCGTAGTTCGATTGCGATCGACTCATTCTTTGAACCACTCAAGTATGAACCTTGATTTTTGCTACTGCTTCCGTGAAAGCTGTTGAGAGGTCCAGCGTTGGACAAATGACCGGTACCGAAAAACTCCTTGACGCGGGAAGCAATGATATCCTCGTGTAAAGTAGGAAAGCTAGCTTCATTCACCGGCGAGAAGATATTCATGTGATAGTAAGATACAGGACTTTCCATAATGCCAGAGCCCAAAGTTCCGCCGGATGTAATCTTTGGAAGAGATGGGCCAGATGAGCCTGAGGCCTGATTCGAGTGAGATGTATATGAGCTAATTTCAACCACAGCACAACCGAAAGGTCGTCTGATGGATTGAGTGCCTAATCGAGGCTGGTAGAAAGTCATCCCACTATATTCACCATTTGAGTCCGGTAATGCGTATTGGGGTGAGTGAGCTCCTTCATAAGTCGGTGACATAGCTTCTTCAAAAGATGCTGTTGCTGATGCCGAGTCACCTTCGTAGACACCCGGTGATAAAATGTTGGACGAAGCACCGTCGGGAATACTACCACTGGCAGATAGAGGAGGCTGATTGTTGGTGGTACTCTTCATTCCACCGTTCTTGACGATACGACAGACTAAAAATATCGAATCTTGTACATCGTGTTGACTGAGATCCTTGAACATGGTCCTCACCGAGATCAAGTTTGAAGCCGTAAGTTTGATCGAGATGTCATCCGCACCTCCGGCGATATTTGGTGAGTGTTTCGACTTGGTTCGAATAGGCAGGCCTAGATGATTGAGAATCACGCAAAACTCTTCTGTCAAGAACCTACTCTCGCTCTTGTTGTACAAGGAAAAGTAGAGTTCCATCGTTTCCCCAACCGCGCAAGGACCGACTGAAACGGATTTGACGTCGATCATGACGTGATAAAACTTGGGTCGAGTGCCTTGAGCGGGATTCGAGAGTGCATGCTGGCCGCCAGGGTTTGGAGAGACGAATTCGGCTTGTTTTGGACTGATTGATTGAGTAGAGCGAGCGTTGGGAAGATGAGCATTCAGAGGTACTTGATTTGGTTCACTAAGTTTGGATTGGTTATTGTTTGACATTGAGGAAATCGCATTGTTGGCCAGCGGATCTGGGAGATTGAGAGGCCCATTGACAAAACCACGGTCGAGTGAAAGAGTTTGACTTAGATACGCCAGCTTGACTTGCCAAACGTACATTCGAATTGCCGACATCCAAGACCTTGAATCGACTGCTTCGAAATCGACTTCAGTATCAACCAAGGCTCCATAGTCAGGATGTCGAACAATAATATCTAGATCCTGGACAAGATTCCCGTATACGAGCCGGTTGACAAGATCGTGTCGTAGTTTAGCCGCTTCTTCTGTGCTGAGAGTCTGAGCTAGCAATTGCCTACGACCCATATGAAGGGCCTCGATATGTTCTTTCATGATATGAAACAGTCGGTATTGCCTTTTGTTGAGATGAACAAAAAGTAACGTATACCACTCTCTCAAAGCACAAGCGATTTCATCCACCAGTGGCTCGTCCCTCCCCGAGACCGTTTCGTCTCCAGCTTTCAGTGATGGAAGAGGTGGAGGTAGTTTCTCTGGTCGGGGAATGGCTTCTATTTGCCGAGAATCAAGCGGATTGACAGCTCTTTGAATCGTTGAGCCAGTCTGATCGGTTTCGTCTTCTTCGAGTAGTGGATCCATCGGACCTGTCTTTGGATTATAACTTCTGATCGGAGTAGGTCCAGGTGTTGGTTGAGCATTGGCTCCAGCGATAGCCAAGATCGTAGAATCGAGATTTGTCAAGGTAGTACTCATCCGTTGAGATGAGTCATTCAAGGGCTCTCGAATCTGAAGATTTGCGGCGGGAAAGATTCCTAAAAAGACTTGAGGTTCTTCAGGTAAGACGAAATTCGAGCGAGTCGATTGAGGATAAGGAATCAAACTATCATTCTCGGCATATTGATCGAGTTGAGCTGAGGAAGGGAGATTCGAGAATGATGACTGATGTGAAGCATTAACGACATATCCTCTGTACCAGCCGGCACTGAGGTTACTCGAATGTAGGGAGGTGTTGGAAGATGGAATGTATTGTTCAAAAACATAACATTCATCACCCACGTCCAATGGAACCTAAGTCATCAGAGATCATAGAAGAAAAGGTGAGATTGGATTAGTTACTATTGAGTTAATAAGTAAATTGAGATGAAGATGTTACCTGATGAGGATTTGCAGGTACAAGTCGATGATCGGATGAATGTGAATCAGCCGGCTGATGATCATCAGAAACTGAGAGAGTTCCCTTTCCTTTTGAATCGAGATTGATAGGAGTGAATGGATAGAGAACAGTTCCGTAAAGAATCTTGGGAAGTGGAATCCAACGACCAGCGAGAGAAAGTTCGACTGGATGTTGTACCATGATGAATGCTGATTGAAGTGATCGATGGAAGTGAAATCGAATGAAAGTCTGAATTAAAATCAAAGAAATCAAAAATCAAAATGAAAGAAATCAAATCAAATCAAATCAAATCAAATCAAATATTGAAATAAGAAGACGCGTGATCAGATGTGATCCAAATCAGAAATTAGAAATCGCTAATCGATCGAATCCAAAATTCAATATCTTTCTTTCTTTCTTTCTTTCTTTCATCAGATTCACAATACCAATCCAATCAAATACAGTCAAACCGGAAAAGGTTGCCAAAAACAAAGATTTGAAAAGTCCAAGGAGGACGTGCACCACGTCAACAGGTGCTAATCTTGAGTACCGGATAGCTCTGCCGGAAAGGTGCTGGGAACAGCAACGCACCTCGACCCACCTTCTGTATGCATAAGGCTGCTAGTCTGAGAACCCGGTTGGCCTACCCGAAGGATGTTGGGATGGGTGTCGGACGATTCAAGCACCTCCTGCATGCAGAAATGTGTCGAGGAACCGGATGGAAGCCACCGTGACGAAAGAATCATCAGCATCAATGGGGTCATTTGCTCACCTCCATCTGACTTTCTTGCCCTCCACTTCAATCTTTTGAATTTTTTTTGTCGCAAAAATTTTTCTTCAACCCATATTCACTCTTCCAAATCTATCACTTCCAAATCAACCTTTATTTCACCGAAAAATGGCATCCCAAGACTCCCATTTCATCGCCCAAAAGCTGATTAATCAAGCTAAAAATGACTGCCAAGGTCCCTTTTTGGGGTGAGAATGTTTTTTTCCACACTCGTTTGGCACTATTCTGATGCTTGCTGTTGATTTATTACAGACCCATGGATAATCCTAGCAGTCACGGAATGTCTGGCCAAATGGCTTTTGGATCCATAGGCCACCGTGCTCCGCCTTTTATGACTCCTTACAGTTATAGCAGTGCTGTAAAGATGTGAGAATTTTGTATTTCCATATCTTGATTGATAAAATTGCTGATACGATGTGCTGTTCATCTTAGGGGCATGGCCCACCCTGGCGGAAACCGGATCTCCAGCCAGTTGACCGTGCCAAACTTAGGCCACCAAGCTCCGACGGCTTTGGCTCCAAATACTGCAACTGTGATTGTCAACGGGGCTAGCAACCCAAAGACCAATCATGTCGAGCTTGACGATGACAGCAGTATTTGTGTGGATGAACTCGATTGGACGCCTCCTCCTTTTGACGAACTCGATTGGACCCCTCCTTTCCAAGCCTGCTCAGTACGAGTTTTCGAAGCCACCATGCAGTCGGACATCGCTACGGCCAGCCAATCCCATGGCAAGGGAAAGGCGATACATGTTGGTTCGGTCACTTCGAATGAATCTGATGAAGCTCCCATTGAGTCTTCCATCAAAGGTAAAGGTAAGATTGTTTCTTGTTACCCATCCTACTTCTACATCGTAACTTACAGAACTCCTTCAAAACAGGTCCGGTGGTGGAAGTCAACGTAATGGGATCTTACAACCTGAAGCTCAGTTATTTAATGTACACTGAAAAGGGTGTGAATCCCCTCAAAATCTCGAGTCAAAAGTTGAAAAACAGCATCACAAAATGGATGCCTTATCGAATCGATCCAACCACCAAGATCATCGACATCGACAACAACTCTTTCATTGCCCTGAAAGATATTCTTTTCACTGTGGCCGATACGATTGATACCGATGCTCCGGCGGGTGGTAATAGTGCAATTTTCAAATTGGCTGACGCTAGTGGAACAGTCACCATCAATGTTTATATCGATCGACATGAAGTTTTCAGTAGAAGCAAGTGTCGCAAACTTGTTGATGATCAAGATGTGCAAGACTTCTTTGCAGCGGTCCAGGATTGCCCTTTGAGAGAGGCCGGCATGACAATCTCGATGGCTGACCCTGCTAAGTCTGCCAAACTTGCTGACACTGTACGTACTCTTATTTGTTTACACTTGCTTTCCCTGTATACTGAAAGCCTTTCTACTTGTAGAAAATCGTGATGGCTCAAACCCGACTCAAAGCTATGAGCGCAATGAACAATGTCACGGTCACTGCTTCTCAATTGACCGATTCGCTTCCTCTTGACCCACTTCAAGTCCAACTTGAAGCTCTAATCAAGAAGTATGGCAGCCTCGACAATCACAGCCGGGAGGGTTGGCGTGTGTATAAACCACACGAAGCATCCAAATACATGCAGATGAACTATGAGCACTTACACAAATGGGCTCAAGAATTGGTAAGCTCACATCAATATCTTTTTTTCATCAATTCTTATACTGATAATGTTTGTATTCAGGCCGAATCTCGTGCTGGAGTTGACTTAGATAACCCACCTATGTATCTTGAAGGCTTCAAATGGACCGATGTCAAACGACCTCTGTCGACTGCCGCTCCACAACACTCAGCCAAAAGAATCAAAGGTTCCAACTCAAACTATTCCCATATGGGCACCCCGGGTGGATACTCTGAGTGTCAGGGTTATCACATTGAGGTCAATCGAGAGGAGCTTGAAGAGTTGAAGAAGTATTGTACATTGGAGGAATTTCTGCTTGACGCGGGGATAGCCCCTTTCCTCGTTGACGATCTTTCTGAGCGGTTGGCCAATCACCACATCGATAGTTTTGAACAATTCCTATTCCCAGATTTAATGAACATCCGCGACGTACTGGCTTTAGGAATTTCTTGGGGAATCGCGATGAAGCTCTTTTCTCAAAGCCGATTATTTTATCAACAAATGAAAAAGGAACTGGCCACCTGCAATCGAATCTTTGCTCGCGAGGGCCCCTATAACTTTAAGTCCTCCACCACCACCCCCCATAGCGGGCCAAGCAACTCGACCCCGCGTGCGCGTCAAGCTGGACCAAGTTGTGTTCCTGACACAGCTCCTAAGGCTGGAACTAGTCGTTCCTCTGGTCTTTAACCGATTTCACGAATTGTTTAACGAGGTCTTTCAACAAGATCCACTTTTACATTCAAACTGCCTTTGCTTTATCACATTTTGTGTGCGATTATGTTGTTTTTTCTTTTATCCAAGTTGTGTGCGATCTTCTGTGAGCCGTTCTTGATCTCTACGATTTCTATCGTTGTATAGGCAATATACGTCTTGAAATATACACGTATTTGATTTTGCCAACAAAACCAAAAAGATGCTCTAAATGACTCGATCATTCCTGCGAGAACACCCTACTGAGGTTCATCCGAACCTTATGAATTCATGATCATTTTAGACATCACAGGACTTCTCTCACTAAGTGTCTAATCAGAGGTTAGACATTGGATCACATCGAAGTGATCCACATCTTAATCACTTCCACAGTTGAGAACACTTTGGAATGTCCTTATGAAGGATAGAGACACATAGCAAACCAATCTCTTTGATCGATCAAGTCAGATCAAAGAGATTGGTTCGCTATCATCGATACTTTTTCAAAGATCAAATCTGACTTGATCTCTACACTCGATCATTTTTCAATGACCACCAGTACTCGGGTGTAACTTAGCCTATGTATTCATTGCTTAAAAGAAAACATAGATCAAACAGGAAGTATAGTCTTAAATGATTGAGCCGATTCAGTTCAGGATAAAACAATAAATAATTGAATAACAACATCTTCTTGATTTTGAGTGAACCGTTGAAAAAAGAGAAAAAACGATTGAAACATTGGTTTAACCAGGCCGATTTAATTTTGAGCGGACCAGAAAACATAGGGTACACAAAGGCTTAGACACATTTTAATCATCAAACCTTTCATTGTACTGCTCCCAATAGTAATCAGTGGTGTAACCACTGTTCACCATCAAAGGTTGCATCAGCGTCCTAGTCATCACCCGACCCGCCAACCGAATCAGATAAGTGGCTTTATTGTCAATTAAGTGCCACACCTTCTCCCTTTGAAGTCTTCGTTTCATGGCCGCAAAAGCCTTCTCAATCGGGTTGAGATCGGGAGAATATGCAGGTAGATAAACTAAAAGGATTCCTTTTTCACGACATATTCGTTCTATATCGCCGCCATGGTGAATCTTAGCATTGTCGAGTACCAGAACCGAGTTCGGAGCTGGGTACGCGTTCATTACAGGTAGCTTTCAAGAATAGAGAAAAGGCAGATGAGATCAGTACGATCCAAAATGAGATAAAGGCAGAAAGAACCCACCAAATGACGCTTGAGAAACATCTCAACGTGGATACGTTCGACCGAGCCCTTGACAACAACACCAGCTATCATACCTTGCTCGCCAACAGCCGGTAAGATGATCCAGTGATCCCCATCGCCGTAGTGCTTGGTTCGGACAGTCCTGGTGCCTCTGGGAGCCCACGAGCGTGGACGCATGGCATCTCGCCCCACCACGCCAGACTCATCTAAAAAAATAAATCACACTTGATAAGCCTCCAATTCGCGAGATCGATGTGTATCTGAAGAAAACACTCACCTATGAAAACAAAACATTCAGGTGGTATTCCAGCCACAGTCCTGATGTAATGGGCACGATCACGAATGGATTGTTTGTGATGGACACCCCTGGTGACCAGCAAAGACAGGCCGAGTTGTTCGTGTAGTTCATCACCAATTGTAGTTTTGGAAACCTTGACACCAGTAACTAATTCCAACTGAGCTTGAACCTCGTCCAGATACATATCAGGGTTGCTGAGGACAATGTCTCGTAATACAATAAGTTGTTCATCGGATAAGAGGTGTGGTCGGCCACGGATTTCATAGTCAGCTGGGTCTCGAACAACGTTGTTGGTGGTCTCGTATAGCTCTTTCCACCGATCAATGGACCGGGGTGAGATGGAGTGATGAAGGGATTGATTAATATCGGCTAAGGAATGGTTCGCAAGGGCCATTTTGGTGGCGGCGAGCTTGAGGTCGGCGGAGTACTTGCGAAAACCCATTGAATGATTATGGAAAAAAGGATGGATCAAAGAGAAACAAAATTGATGGGTTGAGGGAAAGAAGGTCCACTTCAGGCGAGCGATGGACCCTGTTGATTCTGATGATGTGTATGCTTCCAATAGGTAAGGGTGTGGTTCGTGTGGGATGACACCAACCTTCAAAGTTCCTTGGAAAATTTATGCATGCAGTCGAGGTGAGTAGCCGTTCTTAGCTTCTTTCCGGTAGGGTGACCCGGTACTCAAGATTAGCACCTGTTGACGTGGTGCACGTCCTCCTTGGACTTTTAAAATCTTTGTTTTTGGCAACCTTTTCCGGTTTGACTGTACATAACATAAAAAACCCATTCAATTTATTACAACTTTACTTTCCACCACCACTCCGATTCTAAATTTCTCATCACTCATTCCCCCTCAACATCAAATTCACAAAACTTCATTTAACTCACCTCCTACATTTCTGAACCATCTCTATAAGTCATCTGACGGCTCCATGTGATTCAAAAACAAAACAAATGTCTTTCCAGGTCTTTCAGCCGAAGAAGGTTTGGCATACATCGTCATACAATAGATAAGTAGAAATGGAAACTTTGATGATAAAGAATTGACCGGCCGGGATAAGGTGTGATAAGAGTATGAACAAGATGAACTGCGTGTGAAAACAAAAGAAAAATATTCCTTTCACAATTTGTATGGACATCAACCTACATCAACTTATCATGCAAGGTTGGTGAGGCATTTGTATAAATACATATAGGGATCCTGATACACTCGTGAAACTCTTGAGAAGGAGGTTTGAGACCTACAAAACTCTGGCACTTGAGTTTTGGTGTTTCTCATGAAGGCCAAGCGCTCAAGGTTGACTGTGACACACTACTTCCTAAAGGAAACCCGCTCCTTCGCGAATTTTTGATATGTGAGGAACAAGTCCTTGTAAGAGCCATACTGTCAAGTTTTTAAAAAAATGCAATATAATCATTACAAAGCTCCTACAAGATGAAGGCATACAATAACGATAACCAATGTCGTATATAGAGTGCTCTCTCAAAGAAAGAAAAAATGATGCCGATAATAAGAGTACAAAAAAGGAAACAATGCAGAATGCGATGATGATACAAGATGCAGAGAGAGAGAGAGAGAGAAAAAAAACAATACAACAATCTAAAGAAGAGAAAACGAAAAATCAAATGGAAAAAATAAAAAAGAAAATAATCATACAATCTATGTACCCAGCAGATCCATGCGATATTGTTAAATGAATAAGTAAAAAAGATCAGGGGGGGAAAGATCAAGGGGGAGAAAGTTGAAATGTTTTCGTTATAACCAATCCGAGATAAAAGGAAATGAATTAAGCTACCCATCATTCGTGAAGGGCAAGGTTTTGATCATAATGATATACTTGTTTGATAAGCCTTGATAAGCTCTATCCATTGAATGATCGGCTACGTTGTCGATAATGGCCTGGAGAGCTAGACTGAATGCATTTATCAAGGTCTTCTGGCCCATTGATCATTTGAGGTTCGGTGAGATGTAAATGCGAGTTTCCCCCTACACCCACGTAGTCTGATGTACTCAATTCGTTTGGTATATCAGCGCAGTGTCTGCCCATCATCGGATCATTGGTGTAATCAGGAGTAGAATAATTCAAAGGGTAGATACTGTGTTCAAGACCTCCATGAAAAGACAACATCCGGTCCATGGAATGTTTAGGGGATCTAGAGTCGGGATAATCCGCTACTTTCAACCGGGATAGAGCGTCATTCCATTCTCCACTGGAGGATGCCGTCTCGACTTGATCATGTAGATTGAAGCTGTCGTAAGCAGATGTGTCGGCCACGCTGTCAGGACGATCTGGAATACAATCTGTTTCAAGAGACATTAATCGTTGAGTTGGCGTAGCGTACTCGTCCGCTTTACGGAAACTATCTTGGGAAAGCTGTGAACTGCTCTGATGGCTAAGTTCAGATTGAGATAGAGGATGATGCATGTTATTAGCCATGTCAAGTTGAAAGAAATCCGGATTGGTCTGGCTTCGACTACGACTTGCAGGATGATCTTGTCGTCCGGCTGGTTGGTTGTGGATAGAAAACTCTTGAGAATGAGCAGATTCATAAGGATGACTGAGTTGTTTTCCAAACGGAAACAGTCTCTCTCGGTCGGCAAACGAGGGAGCGGAGATGATAGGATAGCCGGCAGTGCTTCCATTCCAAGTGCTACTTGCGGCAGATGGCTCTGACCACGCAAAGTCACTACATGCGCTTTCATTGAGGGTCGAAAGAGATGAGTTGGATGCATTGTTGCGAAGTTGAAGCTGAGGGAGCTGCCTAGGCATTCCGTCTCGGGCAAAGGGTCGAGATGTGTACAGGTGATTCGGAAGTGAATCAAAGACTGGATTCGACGAGGCTGGCGCTGTTGGAGTGTAAGCCGGAAGACCCGATGGGTAGACAGAGTTCTGCGGCTGGCTTTGAGGATGGGGAGAAGCATCGGAAGGGACAGGATAGGTACCAAAGCTATAACCTCTAGCCCGATTGTAAGTGTTCGTAGGAGTAGGAGTAGGTTCAGGATCGGTGCGTTGGTCTTGCGTCTTTTTCATGCCTTGACGTCTCTACATTCAGAATGATATCAGTAGATACACTTGGAAGATATAGATTGATAAAGTGCTCATACGAACGTTTTGGAACCATATTTGAACACGCCGAGGTGTCATCGCCAGTTCTCGTGCCAGCTGTTCGCGCAAATCGGTCGAAGGAAAGCGTGTCTACAAGATTCAAGCGTGAGTATAAGAGTATGGCTCAGGCAGCTGAAAAACAAGGTAACGCACCTGTTCCAGAATTTGCATCAACCGCCTTTGTTGAGTGGGTGTGGTAAGTGTACGACTGCGCTTCTTGGCAGAGCCAATGGTCTCGAGGTCTTCGGCCTCCTTTTTCTTGTCAGATCGGCCACTGTCAGAGCCACTTTCGTCGTTGGGTGTACCGCTATCCACGGAACTTCCAAGGAAAGATTGTACTGAGCGGACACTACGGCTTCGTGGCCTGTTTGCGTTGGCAATGTTGATACTCGGCTTCCGATCACCACTCAAGTTGATCATCGGGGTCACCCGGCCATCCTCAAAAGTCTCTTCTGACGTGGCATCATTGGAATCTGTGTTGATTCTCAAGGGAGAGAAGCGGCGACCAGGATTTGCTAGAGATGCGTGATGAGTGCTCCGATGTGGGCCTATCATCGAGGTCTCGTTGGGTGTGAGATTAGCTGTGATGGACGCTAGAGATGGTAGGCTGAAGGGCTTGGCCGTGTTCATCACTTGCATCCCACCGTGATAAGTCTGTATCATCTGAGAAGGAGTTTCAAGGTCACCAAGTGAAAACTGAGGCTCCGGCAAAGGCTGTACTGTGCTGATGTATTGATTTGCTGGATATCCGGAATGCGGCGACGAAAAAGATAGCTTATCACCTGATACGATGTTGCTTGGTGGACCGGTCGACATTCCTGTTTTTGATGATTCAACGTAAACAGTGTGGAGAGAAGGTCAGAAAATGAATGCTGACGATGAAATTCATCAACGATGCATTTTGCTCGCTCAGCTTGAGCTAGCCCAATGATATTGGGCAAGGCTCGACCCTGATGAAAGAGCGACGTAGACATCAGAGGTAAGAAAATCTTGACTGACAATTCGTCCTAGGTTGCTTCGGAGCTATAGGGGTTTATAGTTAGAATGTGGGGTGCGAAGCCACTCTGACGTTATCGAGATGAGATTTCAATTCAATATATGAAACTAATGAAATTGTAAGTTGAAGGGTGCAATGAGAGATGAAGAATAATGGGTTGCTCAGTGCACCAATTGCGGTAGTCTGGTTTTCGGGGAGGAGAGGAATGGAATTGTAGAATGAAAAGATGATGAAAGAGTCAACATTAAGAGGAACAACCGTCTAGCTAAATTGATTTAGTCCAGGCAAAGGAGCTCAGCTTATGAGTTGAACTTGGCCAAATCGATCAAAGCCTAGCTAAAAAGATTGTTAGCACTCACGGGATAACGACGGGCCACGGGCAGCAACCACTGATCAATGCTTCCGGAAACCATGAGATCAGATATCGCTGAAGAGGGAGCGACGGAGGCAAAAAAACAGGGAAAAACGCAAAAAAAAATGCAGGACAACGAAAAAACCGGCGACGGGCAGATCGGACTGAGGAGGAGTGAGAGCAAAGCATAGGTAACCTGCGACCAAATCGGATCATCCCATTCTCACTTCCACATCCATAGCTATTCATCCACACAGCCTTGTGAAGCTCAGCAAAGAAATAAACGAGCGTCAAACCAGAGTGGGGCGGTTGACTTGGTGGTTTGCAAGGACCCACAATCTCATTCTTCGGCTCTTTCAGATCAACCAACTCGCCATTTGTGATGACGAGCATGCATGAATTCTAGCCACTTGCCACCGCCATTGCTACATCAAATGAGGATGTTTTCACATCATCCCTTCCAGTGCTTGCTCAGAAGCCTAGAACAACATTTGTCCTACACAAAGTTGATTCTGGAACTTTTCCACAAATTTTCCAGAACTGCCCCAGAACAGAGATTTGACTGTGTTCTTGACTCCTGGACTTGTGAAAAACAGTACATGTTTGAATGCCCTTTTGCCCAGGGTGCAGAAGCATTCTCGCTTTCTGAAAAATGTTCTGGAAATTTTGTGGAAAAGTTCCAGAATCAACTTTGTGTAGTATAATTGCAATCCACCTCTTACCATTACTATGGATTTCGCATCAGACAAGCGGCAAGCTATGGGGCCTACCTATCTTCCCAAGAAGAAGAGTTCAGGCCCGGTGAGGATGACTTGATCATTGGGGGTGGTTTTACCCTGATGACCGAAGCACTGTGTTCAGAATCACGACCAGAGCGTGCCCGAACAGGACGTAATAGTAGATCTAGCGACCTGATCTGGGTGAAGAAGTCCAAGTTGATGCTTCAACTTACTCTCGTTCAGGCTGTGGTCAAGACTTCCAAGCCAAGATTCGATTCTAAACAGCTAACCAGGTTCTGCCACTGACCCCCATCAAAAGCTCACGTTGGCTTCGGCGCATAATCTTCCAGTCGATAGATTTCGAAAGAAAGAGCGTCGGATCTCCAACTCGATCAAGCATCCACACCTTGCCACGCACTCCCATGGTTCACTGCCCCATCTCGTATCCAAAGTGGGATGTCGACCGGATCAGTCTGATAGAAACTGACCTCATCGCACATCGACCTTGGATCACCGCGACCCATCGCGCGGCGTTTCGCCAGGGAGATAAGTATGTCCCCGGCAGCGGCTGCGTCATTGGGGTTTTGTAAAATTTTAACAAAGCCATTGAGAGCCATCGCCTCTCACCGTTTTCTTCGCATGACTCTTTTGTTCACGCTACAAGGCAAGCTGGGCATTCGTGCTTACTCAAGTCGCTAGGCGGAGTTTTCCTTTTGTGGGCATCAACAGATGCCGCAGCAAACAAAACAAGAGAATTTTTTTCGCCGTGTGTCACAAGTCACCGTCATCATCGGTGGGCCGATCATATCTGGAGTGACCCAGATGTGTGCATTGCCACAAAGACCAGAATTTATTATAGTTACCGCTTTGCATTGTCATAGGTTTTGTGAGAACAAAAAACTTACATACTCCTTCGACAGTTTAAATGCCCGATCTTTATCTCTTGCTGATCGCCAAAATCCATCCCCGAGGTAACATCTCATTGAAAATTGAAATCGCATTCCCTCCCATTCCTCATTTATGAAAGTAACACTCTTCGTGATTTTCTTCCCAGACATCTACAGACGTCTTTCTCAGGGAGTCGGATACATAATGGGTCTGGTTGAGTTTGCGTAGAAGAACAGCAGCAACAGGCTTCAGGTAGCGCTGGGTAATTTTGAAGGATCTTTCAGATGCGTCCCTCGCCGAACAGCCTTCTTAGGTAATGATGACTCATTTACACTTCGTACAGGAGACGCATACATTTATTTCATCCCTGATATGGAGTGCATCACTTTGTCAGACTCTTCTTTCCTATGTAGTCGTACATGATTTTTCAGCCTATTCTGTGGAACGGCTGTATAAGTATCCTTAGCTGTTTGGCATTCACACATTTTTCAGGTCTTCTGAACTCTGATCTGATCACTTTATCATTTTTTCAAGATCTATCGCGGCTGATCACGAATGATCTGGATGTTGGCTCAAAGGTAGTTAAAGCGTGAAATGGAGAGCCAAATCTTGTGTCCACCGAGATTGCGTTAATTTGCAAAGATATCCTGATTTAGAAAATTCCCTCTCAGCCAGCGAGCCTACGAGAAGGGAAAGACATTTAAACATCTGGAGATCCTATATTCATGTTTACAAATTCTTCATGACTATGATGAAACTTTTTTCGAAGATCGTTTGTCAGACTTTGGAAATCATTGACATATTTCAGATGTGCATGTGTATCACAAAAGAACCTTATCAATCCAATGCGCAGATTGTTGAGGCTGCTAATAACCATGAATGAATGGTCCAGAGTTTGAAAGTCTCATAGTTGAGGTTCTTTTTGGAGAGAGCTTTCATTATGCAATTGGGGGAAAATATGTTAATCATCAACTGATCTCTACTTTTGATTCTTCTTCTATAAAAATTTGATCAAAAGTACAAATCATTGTCATAATTAACTAATTGTGTACAAGATATTTTTTTTGCTTTCTATGGTTTGTGGTATTTTCACACACCTAAGTGAATGCTTTGTATTGTCCTTTTTATCTAAGCATCAAATTGTAATAGCCTGTGAGCTGGCATCTTTGATTGAGAACCCAGAAGGCACAACTTGGTTTGAAAGCCCTGGGTGACTTAGTGGAGCTGAGGGGTAAGCCCTGAGTGGTACAAGCCGGCAGTCTGCATACAGGATTCTTGTGGTAAATTTTTATGCAGAATTTTTGTCACTCACTCACTGACTTACCCCTTCAAGCTCAAATTCATCTGATCATCAATTCTCCAAGTCCAAAAGTTTTTCCTATTGAAAATTTCATGTTCTAAAAAATTCTTCATTACATCACAAAAAGCCCTTCTTTATAACAGAAATTCTAGAACATATCAAATTTTCAAGTGGATGAATCAATGGAAGCAAGTTTGTCAAGAGCTGAAGAAAGTTTAGCATGTGTGAGTTGAGCAATGTTGGCAGCCGCCAACACCCCTTCCTTAACAGCAGGCTCAAGATAAATTTCTAACTCAGCCGTGAACCCGCAGATGGCGCAAACAGTCAAGGGCCCATCATATTGACTTGTTCAAGCATCAACAACCCGGAATCCCATAAAATCACAAGTGCTGTCAATGCAGGACCCATGGGAACCACTTGAGGTGACGTTCATGAGGTCAAGGAAGATGATTTGGATGGAGTAGCCATCCTAGACGTGGAGCTCAGGTTGGAAATCAAAGATAGTGCATGGCAACCTCACACTCACTCCAATAAACGCAAAGGCAGGAGAGCAGACACTCCCAAGATGAAGAGGGAAGTGTACATAATGATGGAATGGTATTGAGTGAGTACCTCCAAGTTCATTGGTTGCTTCCTGTTATTCCACTCATGTTCCCTGCCACAGTACTCCACTGTTCCACTTCTTTCCATCCCACATGCTTTGTTCCAACTCAACTAGAAGCATAGAATGCACACTGTTGTATACATTGTCTGCATATTGACAATACCAGAGATCAGCCTCAATCATGTATCAGCAATGCCAATTATATGTGTGGTATGTAGTACTTGCAATAAGTCCATGTAAGACCCGGCCAAGTGACATGTGCAAGCTTTCATAGCTGCTGCCAGGAAATTCCTGGAAGGTTTGTGCTGC